ATATTGGCCTTCTGCATCCCTGAGCAGAGAATCCACCCACGTTGTGCCTGGACTTCTCACCTACACAGCTGTGAGCCAAGAAGTAGGTTCTGTTTTAAGTCACTTAAGTTTCTTGTAGTTTGCCCTACACTAATAGAAAATGAACCCAGTGCTGATTAAACTCCTTTTACAGATGTGAAAACTAAGGCTTAGAGGAAGTAAGGAATTTGGTCAAGGCCATGAACATCGGGCAAGTGGTGGACCTGAGAAACAAAATGAGGTGTGTCTGATTTCAAGACTTGGGACTAAGCTCCATTGGCCCATGACTCCCTGTAGAAAGCCATGAAGAGTCAGAACCATGGGAGACTCTTCATTCATGCATGCATTTATTTATTATTTATTTGGGACCAGAAAATAATGAGCATTATTATTAAACATGAAATTCTGATCTAGAGGAAAATCAAATGTTGAGTGTGGATTTGAACTTTGAAGTGCCACTTCAGTGGTTAGCTTGATATTTATTTCAGAGGACAATGCTATAGAGTAACAGAAATTACATATGGGACTCTACTCATTAAATGTTTGAGTTTGGCTAGAGTGTCCATTTCTGCTTTTCTCCTCCAGCCTGACCAGATGTGCTTAGAAAATTCAGTTCTCCCTGAATATGTACATCTGTCAAAACTCCTGTCAATTTCAGCACGAGTGCCAAGGGAGTGAACAAAGAGAGTTAGCGATTAACTTCAAAGAACTTTGTTGGAGAGGAATAAAGATATTTAAGGCCTATTTTGTGAACTAATTGCATTTGCATATTTATGGGATTTACTGATATAGCAGTAATTAAAAACTATTTAGTAGTCTTAAAGGACACATAACTCAGTTGCTGTTTGCATAATAAACACTTCCTTATTATGTTTGCATAATAAACCCTTTCCCCCTGCTTCTTCCAGAAGACATTGGTGCATCTAAGTGATGCCATATCTTACTTGAAAATAATGAAGAAACATAGTACACAAGCTCACAGAACTGTGGAAAGAAGCTTCTGAGAGAACTACACTTCTAGGTACTCTTAGCTATAGGCTTGGCCTGGGCTGCTGTTAGAGAATGCAGATTCAACCCTCAGATGAAGTCTCTGTTTATTTCGCCCAAGTGATATTCCTTAAAGGGCCTGAAAGCATAGTCCCTCATGACTCCAAGTTTTTGTCTAAATATACTCATCTGCTTGTAAGGCCTGAATGAGATTCACCCCAATATTCATCCTTCCTAAAAAGATGTGCAAGGGAATGATCAGACACAATGTGAATAAAAAACTTTCTCTGGATGAAAAGTGCTGCATTTAAGGAGAGGGAGAAGAGACAGCTTTCATGAAAAGTTAAAGGTTTTGATGAGGGACAATACCAAATCAAAACGTGTTGAATAAACAAACTAAATCCAGACAGGACAATAAGGTTAGGAAAAGAGAGCTGAGCCAGGAGATGGTACAGAGCAGGGCCATTAAGAGAAGACCAGGAAGCATCTGAAGGCAAGTCACACAAAACCTTTTCCATCAGGGCAGGATTAATCATCCATGAGCTGTAATGGGCAGGATCACCAGACTGTTGTTAAATTAGCTAATGAAGGTTGTAATGTACCTATATTACACATCATTAGCAATGGCCTTCCAGTAGCAGATGGGCATATGAGAAAGTATGAAGAAAAGGGAGGGGAAGCATGTCCCGGAAGGTTTGACTTAGAGTCATAGCTTACAAAAATTCGTGTCAAGAATACGATGTTGATCATCGTTTCAATTAAACTTTTGTATAAAGAGAAGCTTCTGCATTCCTTTTCCATAAAAGCACTGCCTACATGGCTATGATGTCTGAGTTTTCCTTTCTCTTGTCTTGATTCATCTCATAGATAGATGCTGACAATTTGGAGAACTGATACCAGTGCTGGGACGTTGGGGACCAGATCAATCCTTTGTGAGCTTATCTCTTGATGAAGGCCCATTTATCTGCCCACTATCTCTAAAGGAAATTTCTCAAATAAATTTCTCATAACTTTGTGTTGAAGTTCCTCTACCAGGTTACATTTAAATTTCTTTTTTTTTTCATCTGAAATATTTTCAAATGTACAGCAAAATGGAAAGGACAGTAGAAAGAACTCCTGCCTCCTGTTCCTCCTCATACAACCATTTGAGAGTATGGCCCACGTGACAACATCATCACACTTGAATACAGAGTATTGTTTTTCCAAAGAAGGACATTCTTTCACATAATCTCAACACAATCAAAATCAGGAAGTCAACATTGCCACATTATACTATCTAATTCATATGCCCCATTCAAGCTTCATCATTTCCTCCCATAGTGTTCCTTGTAACAACAAGATCCAATCCAGAATCACATGTTGCCCATAGTTGTTTTTTAGTCAGATTTTTCATTGCTGAGACTAAAGGACCCAACCAGCACAACTATAGAGGAGGGAAATTTATTTGGGGGCTCATGGTTTCAGGGGTCTAAATCCACAGAAAGCGGTCTCCATTCCTCAGGGCTCAAGGTGAGGATGAACATCATGGTGGAAGAGTGGGGCAGAGGGAAGCAGCTCCCATCATGGTGATTAGGAAACAGAAAAGACACACTCTCCAGATACGAAATTTGTATGCCCCCATTGTACCACTTCTTCCAGCCACATCCCACCTGCCTCCAGTTACCACTCAGTTCATTCCATCACGGATCAATGAACAGATTAGGTTAAAGCTATAACCCAATCATTTCCCCTCCAAACCTTGTGTTGTCTCACATGTGAGCTTTTGGGGGACATCTCATATCCAAACCATAATAATTGTCATGACTCTTTGGTCTCCCTTTGTTTGATACAATTCTTCGGTCTTTTCTTAAATTTCATAACCTTAATTTTTTGAATATTTCATGCCTGATTTTTTTTTTTTTTTTTTTTAGAATGCCCCATAGTATTTTGTTGACTCGTGTTTTCTCCTGAGTAGATTCAAGTTAAGAATTTTGGGCAAGATTGCAACAGAAGAGCTCCTGTGTCGACTCAATTCATTCTGTCTCATGCCACACATGATCATTTCATCATTTGATTAAGGTGTTGTCTGCTAGCTTTCTCCACTGAAGGGTGTTGTTTTTTAATCTTTGTAATTAATAAGTGTACAAATGTGCCATTCCTCATCAAACTTTATACTGTCTAATTCATATGCCCCATTCAAGCTTCATCATTTCCTCCCATAGTGTTCCTTGTAACAACAAGATCCAATCCAGAATCACATGTTGCCCATAGCTGTTTTTTAGTCAGTTTTAGCATCCATGGAAGTTTGTTGGGTGAACTAATTGTTATTATGAAGATTCCATTATGCCTTCTACATTTATTAGTCGGCGTTTTCATCTAATGGAGTTCTTTCTCTTCTTCCTATTCACTTGCTTATTTAAATCAGTGTGGATTTGTGGATTTAGTTTTATCTAGTGGGTTACAATTTGTTATTATCATTATTAATTTTTATGCTCAAATTGTACCAGATTTGGCCACTGGGAGTCCCTGTCATTTTATTATGTCCCCATCATTTTTTTTTTTTTTTTGCCCCATCATTCTTTTAGTACCTTTTTGCTTTCTAGTACATAAGATGTTCTGGGTTCCGTTATACTCTCCCTGCATCAGTTTGGGCAGCAGTAATTTCTCCATTTTTTTTTCTTGTGAGTATGGTATTTAGAAACTAAGATCTGGGTACCAAGTGTGCTCATTACTCTTGGGGTCTCACTGCTCCCAGGGCCTCTAGTGTACAGAGCTAGGGAATATATATGTATGTATGAAAATGTGTACATACATTTATATTTGTATTTATTTCTGTGTTTAGCCAAATATAATACACTGAAAATCATCAGTTCACACTGACACTTCCAAAACCAACTCAACCCCATAATCCTCTCCTTTATTCCCTTTCATATTTGTAACTTCCTCTATCAACAATAGGAAGCCAATCAGGCTATATTTTATTGGTAGATAAAATTAGGAGGATAACTTCATGGATTCTAAACAAAGGGACTGAGTAATTAGAAGAACAGGAGCCCAATATATTCTGCCTCACCCCTCACTTTGCTCTATAATAATTTAACTCAAATCTGTGCTTCTATAATGCCACTTAAAATACAAAACTGGCAGATGTTGGAAATAGTATGAAATTTGTTTTTTTGTTTCTATAGCATTAAGTAAGTCTAATGGAAGACAGAGCTATTATATAGAATTATGCATTCTTTTCCTTAAAATGAAGAGTCAATGAATATTCTATTAAAAAAAACCCTTTTTATTGAATGATGCTAAATCTTAATAGTTCTCATTTTCAATAGGCCTAGAAGCATTCTCTTCTAGGTTGTTTCTCTCTGAATTGTGGTCAGTGAAAATATAAAAAGCACTCCTATTTATCAAAAATCAATGTTTCTTTTAATTAAAGGGGCTTGGGAAAACAAAAAGCACTTTTACCATTGTATTGTTTGCAGTTGTTCTTCATTAGACAATACCAGGTTTCCATTAGCTTTGTGTAATTCAGGAGTCTAATAACCACTGTCAAATGCTGAAGATGTTACTGCATAAGTCTGATTTAGGACAGCTATTTGGATCTCAATTATTAATGAAATTAGTGTCCTGGATGTCAGCAAGAGCATTGCCTTAGGTTGAGGCTGCAAAGGAAATCATATTAGTGTGGAATTTCCTCTCCTTAGGGGCTCCTCCTATATTACATTATTCACTTAGCTATCTCTCGTCAGGGAGATGGAATTGTTGGCCATCATTTGATTTTGGGGCAGAACCAAATGGAGAAGTTGCAAGATTTCTGGTGTCATCAATTCCAAAATCTTAGTGTGGTGCTGATATCGCCTTCGTCCAATTGAATGTTTATAAAATAGCATCAGGAAGGATAGTACACACTGGCAAACAGAGAAGAACAGAGACCTCTGTCACGAAAAATCGAGGAGTATTTTATCCAGTAGTCAAGTTTCTTTAACCTTTTGGGGATTTGCCCAAGAACATTGGCAAGTGTGATGGCTCTTCTGTGGCCCTGCATCCTGGTGGCTGCCACAGGTGAGTCCTATTAATGATTTTACTGCGCACTGAGTATTAATGATTAGAAGCTAAAGATAAGGGATACAGTGTGCTGTAAACGTCTTACAATTTTTTGTTTTAATTCATTCACCATAAAATGTCAGTCGTGTGAAGCTACAGGGAGACCAATGATTTGTTTCTAACTTTGTTCCTACAATCATACACATGTGTATAGTGTCACATGATAGGACTTTTTACACATAGATGAAAGTATGCTCCAAAATGTTATGAGTGTTTGATAAATCTCTCCTTTTCTAGAAATCAAGCTCTCTGCAGCAATTTATACTGTTTGTGGCATTCTTTTTCAGATTCACCTTTATGTATAATAATATATTTTTATTATCCAAAATGTTTTATGTTCATTATAAGCTTTTAGTTCCACGGATTTGTCATGGCTACAGATGCTTGTGTATCATTTCAGTATTATAGTATGTAAGTAAACATCTAGTCTTATAAAATGTACATAGAGATGAGTTTATTTCTAAAGATTGTACTAAAATTTGCAAGTTCTGAGTATACAATTCCTTTGAAAAAGCACTTTACAAACTAGTATATCTTTTCTAAATTTCTCAAATTATACTTCCCTGGTGACATTAACTCTACTGTATTGAATTATTTAAGTTATAATACAATAGAGTCTTTGTATATGCACACAAACCCAAGAATTTATGTTTATGCTGGTGTTTCCCAGCATCCCACTTTCTTGAGGGTTTTTCTAGAGCCTGTATCCAAATTTTCAAGTTTTAACACATAACTGAAAGTGAAATGAGTCAATTACAGAGGTGAGTAAGGAATTTGGTATTCATGAAGCTGGAAATTTTTTTAAAAATCTGGAAATAATTTTTCTGTTAGATAGAGAAGAAAAATAATCTCTTATGAAAGTATGAAAAGCCTGGATGTTTAACTTAAAGGTTAAAAGCATATCTTAATTAAAAAAAATTTTACTGGATGCCAAATGGGTTTCTTAGCAAAAATAACTGTCACAATTAAGAAAGAAAAATAGAAAATAAAGAAATAAGAAGAAATTCTTCTTGATACCTCTTTCTAATCTATCTCTTTGTTTTTATGCTTAATTTTTGTTCTAAATATAACAGAAAGGTGTTTTAACAATGTCTAAAAACCAGTGTTTTACCATAAATTACATTGAAGATATTTGTGGCAAAGGGATCTGCATTTGGGATTTTAACTGTTAATTATCAAGACAGTAAATATCCGAATGCTGACCTGATCACCACTGCCTGGCTGCTCTCTGCATGTGGAGGGTGTGCAGGGCAGGAGGAGGACTGGATGAGGAGAGGGATTTAGCTCCAACTTCCCTACTCACTCACCATATAATCTGGGCAAATCTCTTACACATTCTGTTTCCAAGATTAACTTTAATTTTTGATATTCATGAAGATAAATAAAATGTGAAATTATGAAGTGCAAAACAATTATAAGATATTATTTACCTCAAAATACTACGCAGAAAATAATACTGGCTGTATACTGTCATGCTGAAAGAGTTTGGGCTTTGGATCCAGACCAGCCGTGTTTAAATTCCAGCCCCCTCGTTTGTGAGAGCTATCTGACCTTGGACAGTACCAACCTCAAGCCTGTAGTTTCTCACTTAGAGTAATTGTGCACTCCTACAGACTGTGGAATTCCTAGGTCAAGATTATTGGGGATGTTAAATGAGAACATTCATGAGATTTAGCCTACTGCCTGGCATACAGTAAGTATTCAGTTAGTACTTGGAAGATGCTGGAACCATACACCTGAAACTCTTATTTCCTTGTAAACTTTCAGTTGTGTATATTACTCTCAGTATTCTAAAGAATATACTAAGTCAAGAATAGCTCTTTCCCTTAAAGTACCCCAGACATTTTAACATGAGTGTATGTGAGGGAGTAACTCATTAAAACAAACAAACAAAAAAACCCACAAAGGAATAATTCTATTGTATTCTTATCTTCTTTTTAAATCTCTTACTACAAGTGCTTCACAGCTCAATCCCCAACACATTATACTTTCTATAAATCATACAAGTGAAATATTTAAAGTGATTATTAGCATTCAGTGTTAGCGAGGAATCTTTCCTGGGTCTGTTGATAGCTTCCATCAGTGTCTGTTGAAACATCACTGAACTGTGAGTCATTTAGTGCTTGTGTGAATGTCACATTAGCTTTCAAGGGGCATCATTTACTGTTAATTAATGGTCACTTAAATCCTTAATCTTTCTCCTGTAATTGATCTTTCTCCTCAGGCACATTTGCATTCATAGTAGAAATGTAATTTATTATTTCTTCCCATCTTAAACAAAGAACTCTTTCCCTTTTGGTTTATTTAAGCACACTTCCATGCTTATTATTTTTCTCATTTCATTACTGTTTCTCTTTTGTTCTGAGTCCTAGCTTCCAGAACTTTCTCTTTTTACCCAAAGATTTTGACACATTTTTGAAAATATGTTTATCCACAGGGGACGCATGGATTGTTTCCTAGAAAAGACAGCAGAAGGAAATTTTGAGTCTTTATGAGCAGAGAGTAGAGGGAACCCATACACATTCATTTCTCAGAATTATGTTTTAACTCTGTTTCTGATAGTTTCCTGTATTGAATCATGAACATTTCAGCATTTCCCCAACTGAGACTTGAATTGGGAGCTTCCAAGCGAGGTAAAAATGAAGCTGCCCAAAGCAAAGTTTGTAGGAAGAGCATCGGGCCAGCTTTGCTTTATGTTCCTGACTTCCCTCCCCTGGGGTACGCCAGTGAGAAATGTTCTCAGGTAGAGAGATTAGCAGCACACTTTTTGACAATAACCATTCACAAAAACCTTAAAACCGAAGCCTGATGCAAGCCACCCACCTTAGTCCTGCATGCCTCAATGGCTGATGCCATTTTAGGCATCTTCTTGGGTGGATAGTTAAGAAGTTAAAATGCTCATTAGATTCTCAGTTCTGATGGTAATGAAAGTGAATATTCCACTGCCCACAGTGAGTCTGGGATTGCACCTCCAGCATCGTTGTTAGCATTTTGGTCACATTGACACTGATAAATCATAGAAATTGCTGCCTGTGGCGGCAAGTGACACGACATCATTCATAAAGAAATGGGCATAAACAGGATTGTCGCACAGGGAGAAGCGATCTCATTTACAGTTTCCTGTTGGATCCCTTATACTTTCAGCAGCTCATCAAAATAACCATCAAAACCACTGAGAGCCCAGGCAAATTCACACGCAGGACACTGCAGATAGATTTCATCACGCACTGTGTCATGAGGTGTGCAATTTGCTTCAGTCCAATGACTTAGCGAAGGTTTGAATTCCCTAAGGGCTGGTGAAGCTTGTGAACAAAATATCTTTTTGCAATTCAGAGAGAGCCCTCACAAATTTGTCACTTCCAATTGTTGGTGTTCATTTCTCTTGCTTTCTGTCCCCTGGCTTCTCTTGCCTCACCACCAATCACTGCTCCTCTACAAATCAAGATTCCTGGGCCAGAGGAAATGGTTGTTTCCTGGAACCAGAAAGAATTTTCCCAAAACAAAGATCTCATTTTCTGACAAGTGCATTTTATTTAAAGACAGATAGTGTGAGGAGAAGAGATTTTTTTGGGGATAAAAGTATGAATTGAAATCTCACTCATTCCATTATCTGAAAACTCATACAGATTTTTTAGGGCTCAGTGGTCTGTCTATTATAAATGGAAAATCAAAAGAAAGAAACCAAGGTGGTAGTTAAATTTTGGCTATATATATAGGTGGGTATCTGCTATGATAGGAGCCAGTGATACAGGAATAAAGAAAGAATTCTGTCTCCAAGATGCATGATTGCTATAAAATGGAATTGTGGGTACAGTTTGCATTCTTGGAGATGGGTTTGATTTATTTATCTTTATTCTATTTCTCTATTGGGCACTTAGGCAATCCACTTACTTATTAAATAAGTTTCTGCCAAAGAGCTCACCAGCTAGCTGTGGGCTATTCCACTAATAGCCAAGTTCGGAACAATCTGAAATCTCCTAAAGATGCTTCTTAATTTCATTTTCACAGTGATTGTTTTTTTTTTTTTTAACCCCCCAGGAATTCTAGCTACAGATACACCTCATCCCAGGAATTCTACTCTGCATCATCTCACCCAACATCTACTAGAGCAATATCACAAGGAAGTGAGACCTGTTCACAACTGGCATGATGCCACCACCGTCTACCTGGACCTATTTGTCCAAGCTGTATTGGATGTGGTAAGGACCATCTTGCCATTTCTAATTTTTGTTTCCCTCTTGGAAAACTATCTGTGATTTATGCAGGAGCTTAGATGAGGCCCTATTCTTGAGAGTATGACTCAACTATTTGGGAAATTTGCTAGATTCATATTAGCTGTTAGCATGAGGTAAAATATTTATTTGGTAAATTGTGCTTTCTAGACCTCTATTTAGGCAAATAGGCTAGAAATACAAGTTTCATGGAATTAAGATAGTTTAGGAATTGTGGTCATAGGTCACAGTACAGATTTATTGCTGACACTAAAAATGGTAACAGGTATCTTCCTGCAGTTCACATTTTATTTTATTTTTTATTTTTTGGTGGTGTTGGGGATCGAACTCAGGGTCTTGTACATGAGAGGCAAACACTCTACCAATTGACCTATATCCCCAGCCCTATGCTCATGTTTGTTAGTAATAATAGTAGATTTAAGAAAAGATCCAAAAACAAACAAACAAAAACAAAAAACAAAACAAAAAAAAAAAAAAGAAAAGAAAAGATTCACTACTTATTACCTAAAATTTGAAAGTTGGGAGGGGGGAAATGCCTTGGTATCATGAGTTTATAAGAGGGCTTTTATATGTAAAGTGTTTGCTAAGGATGGTAGGGAGGACTTGCTTATTAATGCATTCTTTTCTTCCTGTTTCTGAGAGATGGGTCATGGGAATGAAATGAGAACATGCATGTAAAGCAGTTAGCAGAGTTCTCAGTAAGAACTGGCTCTGACGATCCTCTCATTTCCTTTGTCTTCCCTAATTACAAAGTTTTCAATACCAAGAGAATATTTCATCCTATGTGATTTATACTTAACTTTTAAAATGTATCAAAATGTTGTGCTATAAAATAAATTTATTTATTTATTTAGGTCCTGGGGATGGAACCTAGGAGTGCTCTACCACGCAGCTAAATCCCAGTCCTTTTTAGTTTTTATTTTGACAAAGGGTATCATTAAGTTGCTGAGACTGTCCTTGAACTTTCAATCCTTCTGCTTCAGCCTCCTAAGTGGTTGGGATCACAGGCATGCGCCATTGCACCTGGCTAGATTTCCTCTTAAAAAATAGACTTTACAAGCCCGGTGCCTTGGTGCACGCCTGTAATCCTAGCAGCTCCAGAGGCTGAGGCAGGAGGATTGCGAGTTCAAAGCCAGCCTCAGCAAAAGTGAGGTGCTAGGCAACTCAGTGAGACTCTTTCTCTAAATAAAAAAACATACAAAACAGGACTGGAGATGTGGCTCAGAAGCTGAGTACTTCTGAGTTTAACCCCTGGTATGAGTGCCCCCCACACCCTGCCCCATCTCCCTACAAAAAATCCTAGACGTTACAAAGCTTGGTTAAAGTGGTTTAATATTGTTTTTCAATTTACTTCAAAAACTTATATCTGTCCTTTCTTCCTTCATTTATGTGGTGCTGGGAATCAAACCAAGGGCCTTGTGCATGCTCAGCAGGCACTGTGCCACTGAGTACATCTCTAATCCACTTTTTAAAAGTTGAGAGGTATAACATGCTTGTATTGAAATGTACAGATCTTAGGTGTAGAGTCTGATCGATGGTTTGATAATTACATATTCATATAATCCATACTTCCATTAAGATAGCAAAGATTCCTATCATCTCAGAAAGACCTCTCATTCCTTTCCGAGTCCATCCCACACAAATATTGTTCTAATTTCTTTCATCAGTGATTAACTTTGTCAGTTCTAGAACGTCCGTCATAGGACCCATGTTTAGTTTTAAATTTTTTTCTTGGTAGACTCTTATTTAGGGGAAGGGAGGCTGAGGATTGAACCCAGAGCCCCGCTCATGCCAGGCAAACACTACCTGGTGACATATGTTTCCAGTCCAGCAATTTTGTTTTTGTTGTTGTTGTTGTTAAAGGAATTTGATCGTCTCATCCAGTTCGTCATATTTATTGACTTAAAGTTACTCATATTTTTCTCTTTTCATTACTTTTTAATGTCCATAGGATTTATGGTGATATGGCTCTTCATGCTTCATATTAGTAACTTGTATTTTCTCTTATTTTCCCTTGACCAATCTTGCCTAAAGTTTATCAGGTTTAAAAAATTTTTTTTAATATAACCAAATGGGCTTTGCATTTCTCTCATTATTTTTTCCAATTCACTGATATCTATCTATCTATCTATCTATTTATTTATTTATTGTGCTGGGGATTGAACCCAGGGCCTTGTGCATGGGAGGCAAACACTCTACCAACTGAGCTACATCCCCAGCTATCTTTATTTATTTTCTTCGACTCACTTTAGATTTAATCTGTCCCTTTTATGTAGTTTCTTAAAGCGAAATCTTGAATAAATAATTTTAGACATTTAAATTTTCTAATATAAGCATTTAAAGCTATAAATTTCACTCTAAACATTATTTTAGTTGCACCCTATAAACTTTGATACATTTTAAAAGTTAAGTATAAATCACATAGGATGAAATTCATCTTTCTAAAGCTGATTCCTTTTCTCTAATCCCTGTCCTGGCAACCACTGGTCTTATTTTTTTTCCCCCTATAGTTTTGAGTTCCAGAATGTCACACAAATTGAATAATATAGTATTTTATCTTTTGAATGTGGCTCCTTTCACTTAGCATAATGCCTTTGAGTTTCAAACACATTTTTTCATATTTCAGTAGTTGTGCTATAATTGTTTATGTATTTCCCAATTTCTGGACATGTAAGTTATTTCCATTTGGGATTGTTCAGATTTCTCCAGTTGATGTATACCTATGTACATTTCTATATTTAGTTCTAGGTACATTTATTACATGAGTATATGTGTTGAGCATCTTTTTATTACTATTCACAATACCTGAGATAATTAACTTATAAAGAGAAAAGGTTTATTTTGGCTTACAGTTTTGGAGGTTCCAGGCCATGATTATATGGCCCCATTTCTTTGGACCTGTGGCAAGGCAGCACATCATGTAGGAGCACATAATGGAGCAAAACCACTTGCTTCATGAGTGGGAAGCAGAGACTGAGGAGGGAGCCGGGGGCCCCATAATCCCCCTTAAGGGCATGCTTCCAGTGACCTAAGGACCTTCCATTAGGCCCCACCTTTTAAAGGTTCCATCATTTCCCAATTGGGCTGCCCTGGGGACTGAGCCTTTAACACATGTACCTGTGGGGGCTCTTCAACCTCCAAAGTACAGCAGTCTAACTTGGTGTAACCACCACCATAATCAAGTTATACAACTCTACTCTTTGGTAGCTAGCTACATCACTTTCTCCCCACTAATCTCTAACCTATAGCAACAATTCATCTCAATCTTTTTGCTTTTTCAAGAATGTTGTGTAAATAGAAGCATATAATATATTACCTTTGAGATTGACATCTTTCATTTAGCCTAGTTTTTTAGTTCTTTCATGTTGGTGTGCATAGCAGTAGTTCATTCCCTTTTATTGCTGAGTAGGATTCCTGGTTTTTGCTTCACTTAACTGGTCTGAAAAATCTATGCATTTTAATTGAAGTGTTTAGTCCATTTGCCAACACCATCTTGCTGTTTGTTTTGTAATTATTCTATGTGTTTTTTGTACTTCTATTCCTTATATCCCACCTTATTTTGGGTAGATTTAAAATTATTAACAAATATTAAAAATAACAAAATATTTAAAAAATGTTTTTAACATTTTATTTTAGTTTACCTATTGGCTTTTTAAGCTTTCCTTTTTCATATTATTATTTTTTCCATCTTTGTTGTTTTAAGAGTTTGCCTTTGGGAGTTTCATATTTATCATTATTTTATTCCAGTGTACTTAGATTTAACATTATGATACTTTTCATAAAATATATGAAACTTATAATAATAATCTATCAACCTGTTGCATTCTCATTGCTACTTTTATCTTCAATTTTATATTCACATGCATAATATACCTCACAATATCATGTTAGTATTTTAATGTACTTTGTTAAAATAATTTAATGATTCCTCTTTGTTTTAATGGGTTTTTTGTGTTAATATTTTAGTGCTATATGGTGAGTAATAGCATCTGGATTCTTCAGCTGACAATTAGGCCTTGCAATTGATGAAAAATAAATTTGAAACAGAGTATAGGGTTTACATTTTCTTTTAACTGATGCAGATTGCTTTAGTATAATTTTCCTCCAGCTTAGATAAATACCTATTCAATTGTTTCTTAGTAAACCGGAATATTTAAGAGATACACACCAAATTCTTCCTTTTAACAACAAATTGTGTCTTTCTTATTTATATTTTACCACCCTTGCTAGTAAAAGCCAAAAGACCTTAGAAAATATTATTTAATTTAATGCCAGGAAATACCCCCACGCTAAAAGGCCTAGTCTCTCAAATTTTAATAGAAAATTCCTTTATTCTCTTTTTAATTGAATACTGAACTAGAATTTTTGAGATTCAGTTTCCTGGGGCTGATTCTTCACCTGGCTAAAAGAGATATTATTCCTTGTCATCTAGTTGCCAGTGGGTTATCATGACTGTTCTGCTCACCAGAGGTTGTCAAGTGGTGAAGACATTTTGAGTAGATATACAATATGAAGTGTGTCATATGAAACCCCAGGGCTGAGGGGCAGTCAGCCTTGAGCTAGTGATGCAGACGACCTATAGGGCTCTCCTTATCCTTCTACTTTCTGCTTCATGTTGATTAAGATAAAATAGAATTGCTTAGGCTTTCCTTTAGAGCTTATTTGGAGATAAATATGGGAAAGAAGTAGAGTCTTTATATTAATGTTTTTCCTTGGAAGAAGTGTATCAAATTGAAAAATTTTTATCTCTTTCTTCCTATCTTGATAAAAGAAAGCAAAATCTGATTCTGTATGGTAGGTAAGGAGAACACTATTATTTTTTTCAAGAATGAGGTTTTTCTTCCATTATAGAATATGCTTGTTACTACAATATGTTAGATATTATTGAAGTATATTTTTAATATTTCTTCCTTTTTTTTGTGCAGTGCTAGGGACTGGGGATTGAATTCAGGGTATACACTAGGCAA